GATGAGCGAGGTTAGTGTGAAAAAATGCATCCCTGTTCTTACTGCAAGAGGAAATATCTCCAAGAATTCTTGCCAATGCAATACTGCTAGCGTTATAACGATAGTTTCTGCATGTTCTGAGCAGAGCATGCAAGAAATATAATGCATCTTACCTCCTCCCTCATGGTCCGTTTCGAATAGCGCCTCAGGAACGATCGTGATCGTGTGCATTGTGTCGTGTACCAGAAAGCATTATTCTACGTCACGATCCACGTGATTTCTTCATTCCTCTTGCAGTAAAATCCAAAAACTACACGCAAAAATTCAGTCACTTTTGCATCAACTGTTGCAACGAAAAATGTTGGTGGCGCAAGGAGAAGCTTGTCGTTTGGAGTGACAAGTGATCACCGCTGCTTTTCCTTGTCAGAATCAACAATACACTTTGTTCTGCAGCGTTGGGAGTGGTGTTGGAGTAGGAATTGCTGACTAGACGTCGCGGAGGCCGAGCTTTCCTGCGCAGGTATGAGTTTGGACGTATTTCGGAATGGTCGAGTGGAAAAATTCAAAATTGTTTATTTCAAGAAAACCCCAAAAGGATGATGGGGGACATGTCCTCAGTGCTAGAAGAGGTGTTCTACTATCTGCCGGTGTATAGTGTTTGCTAATTGAGGACGTAGCTCGCTGTTTTATCAGCGCTTGTAATTTGGCTATTTTCAAGACGATCATTTGTGGCGTCAAGGGATGATTTCCCTCGTCCTCTGGGATGCTGGCGTGGCTAAGTAGTGCTGCCGCAAGAACTCTTCTAAGGTGAGGTAATGATGGCTTGATGGAGTTTTGTTCGTAGCTTGTTCTTGCACGTTGTACCGTGGCTTGTTTGTTGACCCATAAATCGTGCCAATTTTGGGCCAATATTGAGGGGTATACCAATTTCATGGTTCCCTTCAAAAGATTTTGTGCGGGCTTTGGAATGTCGATCTACACCCCAAAGCAAACCTACCTGCAAAATTTGAGCGAAATCTGAGAGATCGACTTGCACATATGTTCTGGTTTTCTCAGACATGCTCTCTTAAAGATTATGGGACAGTGGTCTGATAGCGGATCTAGGACTTCAAGGTCGGATATACGATGCTCTGCGTCTATGATAACCAGGTCGAGAAGTGATGACTGGCTACCCGTAGCTGAGTATCGCGTTGCGGTGTTTCGGACAATTTGCTGTAGTGCAAGGTCGTCTAACAATCCTGCTAGCTGTTTGCCCTCTGCCGTATCAACATCTGTTGCGTTCCACTGTCGGAGTTTGGCATTGAAATCACCGAGAATGACTGTCGTGCCTGAGGCTGACAGTGCGTTGGCAATGGTGGACTGGAAGGACACAAAAAAGTCGTGTTTTCTGCTGATGATCGGTGAGGGGGCCTGTAAAACATGTGGAATGTATTCTTTCGACTGTTCTGCGATTCTATAAATTCCCCGCAAATGTGCTCCAGTTTGCATTCAAGGTCGGTCCGCCGTTGGAAATGGCACATAAGCGATTGTCGAATATAAACAGCAAGTCCTCCGCCTATCGCGGAGTGTCGGGCACCGTCTCTATCTTTACGCAGGAGGCTGTATCTGGGAATTGAGATGGCTGCATCCGGCAGTGATTGGTAGAACCACGTCTCACAGAGGAATAGGAGGTCAAGGGACGAAGTGTGTAGTAGCGACTCAATGACTTGGATCTTATGAGTGGCGCTTTGGCAGTTGAGTTGGCCTATCCTAAGGTGGAATGAATGTGTTATGGGCATAAAAACATTCTCTTCGGTGAAAACTTCTTCGTTGTCCGGTTGGCCAAAGTAGCCGTCGTCTACGGCTCGACATGAAACCCTTTATTGGTGACCCCAGACGCTGCGCTCTTCGGAGTTTTGAGCATGCCGTTCCCGAGCTCGGCCCGCCGCAGTTTCCTGCTTGCCTCAACACTCGGGATCGCGGCTGTTGACGTAAACCTTGAGTCTCACCACCACGCGACACTGGATCCGCCATCCTCCCCGGCCCACCTGGATACCCCGTTATCCTGCCACGACATTGTCCAGTCGTCCGTATTCGTCCATCTTCGTCCTGGCCTTAAGCTGGAAATTGGCCACCTCCACCATCCGTACCACCTCAACTGTGCACGAACGCAGGCACACGCCGGCACAGGACTTGGAGCTGCGCACGCCTCCACCCGTCCCCGCCTCACTCGGCACGCCTCGCCCCAGTGCAGCGCTCCTGCTGGTACCCCGCCAAGCCTGTAACATGCAGCCGCCTCTGACATGATAATACAGTTAATACTCCTCTGTCACTCCACATTTCCTCGCTCCGCCTCTGACACGATAATACTCCTCTGTCATGCATACGCTTCCTCTTTTCTTTCTTTCTGCCTCTGACATACTCTCCACCTCCGTCACCTTAACACACCTCTGACACGTTAACCCGCCTCTCTCATGCATCTCTCTCTTTCCTGCTTTTCTGGTTTGTGCTTCGGCATTTGTGCCACGTTGTTAACAAATTTCACACACGCAGCGCTCTCGCTTGTAAATATTATGTATCATATTATTATATGTTTGCCTTTCCGCCTTGTACATGCTGCACTTCCTTTCTGTTCTCTTTCTTTTTTCTTGTTTATCGTGCTTCGCTCCTCCCGACCTCACCACTGGAGGGGGAGTACTGTAGCGACCTGACTCACTACTGTCATTACGTCATTTCTACATGCGCAGGAACTAAAAACATTCTCTTTGGTCTCAACTTCTTTTTTGTCTGGTTGGCCAAAGTAGCCGTCGTCTAGGGACCGATGTAAAATCCTATAGGTCAAACGGCTTGGATTTTGATGGGTTTTCCCAAATCAGTGCTTTTGGGGCAGAACCTGGCCGAAATCCTATTCTTGCTATTGCTTGCTTTTTGGAGAAATAGACTGCTGAAACATGATTGGAGAAAGGAAAAGGACATATGGATATGATTCATTCGACGACCTGAGACCTAGTTTCAACACATCTCCGTAGCGCTAACCGACAGCCTTCCTTTCTACTTCAAAAGTACATTATTTATGGCTCAACATCTGAGTTTGAAACAAAATTGGAAGAGGATTCCATAGGGGATTGCAGAAACATATTCTAAAAAAACTCAACGTTTGACCCATTTATGGCCAAAAGCAAGAAGTCCATCTTTTTCTGAATGGACTGTAGGAGGAGGTCGGTTGCGCCAAGTCCAGAGCAGAAGCCAAATTGGCGAGCAGAGAGAATAGAGTTGCTGTCAAGAAAGTTTGTAGTGCTCCGGTTGATTATGGTTTCCATACATTTGAAGATAATGGAGAGAAGGGATATTGGATGGTAGTTTTTCACACAAGATCTTCAGCCCTTCTTGTGAACCGGGACAATGTTCGCCACCTTATAGGCAGATAGCTGGTGGCCTTGCCGGAAGCAGAGAGAGAACAGACGAGCAAGCAGGCGTGCACGCGAATCTGCACACATCTTAAGCACCCGGCAGGGGTCAGAGTCAGGGCCACTTGCTTTTGACGGGTTGATGGCTATAAGCACACGCCTCACAGTAGATTGGCGAAAGTGCACTGTTGTTATTCTGTGTATTGAACGCTGTTTGACATCCAGAAAGGCGGTAGCAACATCACTGAAGTCAGTCTCTAGACTGCATTTTCAATGACGTAGCTTCACATAATCTCGTCTTTGTCACGATTCTGTGTGTGCTCCTGTCCATCAGAGACAATAGGAACAGGCACAGTGCTATCGCGGCCACTTCCACCTGCACGCTTAACCATGGACCGCCACTCCTTGTTCTTCAGACTTCGTAACTCACACTCCCTGTAAATCCACACAGGCGGGTAGGATGCAGCCCTCACCGTACCCACACACTTCACGTGCAAATTAGCATGTGTGGACCCCCAAGCCATAAATTATTCACTGGTTTGAAGGAAAGACACGAACTGGAAAAGTCTGAAGAAATAATTGACTGTCACCACCAGGACTCAAACCAGAGACTCTCGCTTGTAGCTAGCGATACTCTAACCACTGCGCTATTGTGTAGTCGTCATCCCAGCAGAGACTGTTCAACATTCTATTCAGACTTCGTAATTCACACTTCCTGTGAATCCACACAGGCAGGTGGGACGCAGCTCTCACGTGCCGAAACACATCACGTACAAACTAGCACGCGGGGAGCCCCAAGTCATAAATTAACTGGTTTGAGGGAAACACACTTAGGCCACACCAAGTTATTTCTATGTTTCGCGTCACCCGCCCGCGTACCCTTTCGAATCCTTGACAAGAAAAAACCCCTAGACGAGCCAATCGATGGCTGTTCTAGCGAACATTCTCTAGCCAGTATGGCAGGTCAGAGGTTATCAGCTTCTCGATAATCTTTCATTCCAGGCGATGGTACGTAGAAGGTGCGAGAGATGAAAATTTCTATTTTTCCAAGCCGTGCGGTAGGCCTAGGGCCTGCTCACCAAGCGAGCACAGATTCCAGGTGTCAAGGACTTCGAGATTTTCCGCGATTGTGATGGAGCGGGATCCCACTCGACTCATGTCAAAATGCTGGAGGAGCCATCCATGAAATCTCTGTATGCAGTATCGTTCCAGCCCAGTCTGCCAGCTGTCCTGTGACGACTTGTTGTCGTTTTGGATAGAAGTGACAGTTTAGTAGTGGTATTCTGTGTGCAACATGGCTCAGTACACATTGAATGGAGTTTTTTTTCTGTTTTTGTTCTTTTTCCCCCCACCCGCGTGCCTTTTGCAGAAAATATCCGACGCAAAACATAGAATTAACCTGGTGTGGCTTTAGGCATGAAAAATGAACTTTCCAAAAATTATGCCTGTGCCACCTTTTAGCTTGGCTCGGCTCATATGATGCTCTCCTAATGTTGTGTCTCAAAAAGATCATTGCTATAAAGTTTTTATGATATTTCAAGTGAAGTGTGACTGTGACAGCCTATAGGCCCATATTTGGTGAATGGATTATAGTTAGACTATGTGTGTACTTTGTACTGGTGGATAAACCAAAGCTAGACTAACTGCCGCCAGGTCTGAGCAATCCAACCCACTGCTTTCACTTACGAGAGCAATTTGTACCATCGTGATAGTAAGGCATTCTACATTCACATTGTCCTGTCGAATTACAGAGGGCATTTTGCTGGCACGTGACCGATGAACAAGCAGCAAATTCTGAAATTAGAAAAAAATCAATGTTGAATGCAGATCCTAATTATGAAAATGTTATTGCCAATATGGTGAAATTGATGTTTTATGAAAACGAATGCTAAGGTGCACCAGTCCACTACTGGTAATCCTAACCCTTTACTGATCTACCAAAAGAGAACCGATACTATAGTACTGGTACGTGTTCCCCTCATTTTCAGGCTTTTGTGGCTAGGAGACAACACTTACCAGAAACTTCCCGCATCTATATACTCAAAATTGTCGAACATGGAAAAGACAACCATCCGTCATGCGTGCTGTTCAAAAACTGGAGTCTCTTGAGGCCGTGTTTGACAAGCATTCTGAGAGTAGCAACAATACCAGTCCAAGCTAGATATTACAGAGGTTTTGCAGTGTAGCGTTTTTTTATTTTATTTATTTTTTTACTATTATTCAAAAACCCAACTCGTAAAATAAATAATTATGTGGACAAAAACAAACAGCTACTGAGCAGGGGCTGCACTGGGCTGCAGTGATGGCGAGGTACCAGGGGCTCCACCGACCAAAGGTCTCGGCTTCAATGCCACAAGCACGCACCAGGAAAAAGAAACAGAAATGTAAAGCAAAGCTAGATCTAGCTATGGGGAAGTAGAATGGGTAAAAGTACCGGTAGGTGTTTAGAAAAATAAAAACAAGATGAAAAGAGATTGTTTATTATCAGTGTTTGGACTGATGTACAATGTACATGTCAACTTCATCAACCAAAACTTATGAACTTTTTTAATAGATCTGAAACGAAACTCCCACAAAAAGTGTAAAGAAAACAAGCTAAAAAACAGAAAAATAATAAGGCACCCATTTTGATAATCCAGGGGATTGCCCACGCCTGGTAAAAGAATAGGCAGAGAAAAGAAAAGAATCATAACAAGTTTTCCATGTATGCAAAACACAGCTGAGCACTCTGAGCAAGGCCAGGTACGCGGATTAGCGGGTCCGGCAAGCGACGAGCTCGAAAAATTACAGGGAATCTGTTGCCCAGGACCAGTTGCTGTCTCTCAGGTGTCGGTAGACCTTTGTCTTGAATGACTGAAAACGTGTTTTGTGTGGGCGCTGCGACAGCAGCCTGTCAGGAAGGGAGTTCCATGCGCCAATACAGCAGTACGGGAACGACCGCTTCACGACGGATTGAGCTGAGACAGGGAGGGTGTCTGACAGTTGATAGGCATGGCTGGTGGCATTATTGTGCTGGTTCCTGGTTCTGGGGTGGGCTGGAGAAACGCGATGCGGTGGCAATACAGCAAGTAGCTGAGGAGGACCAGTAATGGAATGCAATTTGTACATGCACGAGAGAGCAGCAACAGTCCGGCGGACAGCCAGACTGGGGAGAATTGCACCAGGGCCAATGATGCGCAGTGCGCGGCGCTGAACATTATCCAGACGTTGGATGTGGCTGGCTGGCGCGCCCATCCACACAAGCGGGGCATACTCCATCAGGGGCCTCACGAATGCCTTGTAGACAGTCGTTCGGCCAGCTGGCGTTAGAATGTGGGCCGCTCGTTGGAGAAAGCCGAGGCGCTGCTGGGCGCGGATGGTCACGGTCCTGAGGTGACTAGCGAAAGACAATTTGGAGTCAAATCGAACACCAAGCAGTGATATGCTGGTTTCCTCCGGTACAGGGGTACCACCAAACAGGATTTGGGGCAGGTCTAGGTCAGTGCGTCGGAGGGTAGCAGTCATAGCCTGTGACTTGCTGGGCTCGAAAGACACTTTCCACCGGCAACCCCACTCATGCAGGCGGTTTGTGGATACCTGCAAGGTGTGTGCAGCATCCCGAGGGCACTGAGCTGAAGATACTAGACTGCATAGCGTCGTATCGTCCGCGTAGGCCTCAAGCTGAGCATTGCCATCAAGAGTGCATTGAGAGAAAGAGCTCCGAGTGAACAATCCACGCTGATGATCCGTTTGGGTCTACACAATTTTGCTGTCAAACCGTTCCTATTTGAAACACCCTCCTCTACATGTGTTTGGGTGCCCCCTCCTCAGTTATTTAACGCAGTTGAAGACTCAAGAACCTGTCTGCATCATTTGCAACAAATAATATCATAATAAGAAGAGGTTTGTGCGACTTCGATGATAATTGCTTCTGTTCAGCACCTCCATGAGCGACACTGACTTGCGCTGCTATCTGGTGTTCACGTGGTGTCTGTCGCGCTTGAAACGGAGCGTCTCTGTAAGTTTGTTTCCCTGGTGATGTTTTTGCCTGGAGAGCAATATATAAGTGGTGCTCTTCAGGCATAACCTTCCTCAGCCTTCTCAAGCTCAACTGATGAGGGGTTAATGAGCAATGTGAGTATGTACATACGGAAGAGATGACAAGAGGTAGGATGTTTGCTTTGAAATCTTGTCTGGGGTATATTGTCGGAGGCTAAGTGGGGTGCTATTAAAGAAATCAAGTGAAGCATAGATGGGGAAGTCTCCTAGCTGGTTTGCGTGTTGTGGGTAACTCAAAGGTTCGGGGGGAACCTGAGCGTGCGAATGGGTTGTATTCGGGGTAGGTGAATTGCAAAAAGGTGTTGTGTTGCATATCTATGATGCAGGCTATGTGCATGAATGATATGGAAGAGGGTACGGCGGCTGCTGAATGATAGCCATTTGAGCCAGTGGAGCAGTGCGGAGTGGGTTCTGTGTTCAAATAGGGGAGATGCAAACAGAGGCGAGCGGCGCGCCGTTGGATGCGCTCAAGCCGGTTATTGAGGGTTGCGAGGAGGGGTGAGAGGTCAGTGCAAGCATACTGAAGAATACTGTGAATGTAAATTAGATAGATGTAGGAGAGAGCAGAAGTGTAGTCGCAGGAGAAGGAACATCTTCCTGGACGCTTTAGTGATGATGTGGTCAACATGCTAGTTCCAGCATGGATTCTGCTGTACGAGAAGGCCAAGGTGGCGATGCCTTTAAGGGGACAGTGAGGTTGGTATCGTTGAGTCGGAGTGTGATTGATGGTGGTCTGGGAGGTGGCCGGTTGGTGTGGTGAAAGTGGATGACAGTGGTCTTATTTTCGTTGATGCGGAGTTGCCAATCCATCAGCCACTGTGCGGCGGTTGTCATATCTGACTGGAGGTGCTCTTCTGTGGCTAGACATTTCTCATGAGCGGCAATCATGGCAATGTCGTCGGCAAAATGGCTGCACTCAGTGTTGGCATTTATGCAGGCGGTTGGCAGATCGACTGTGTAGGCTGTGAACAAAAGTGGCCCCAAGACAGAGCCTTGGGAGACCCCTGCAGGAATGTTCAGCCAGGTTGATTTGCTGCTCTCCACTGGCACACATTGTCGTCTGTTGGAGGCAATCCACTGGAAGCATTTGCCATCGAGTGCGAGGTGGGTCAATTTAGCAAGCAGTCCTTGGTGCACACCCGGTGAAATGCCTTAGATAGGTCGAAGAAGCAAGCAATACCTGTTTGCCCAGCGTCTCTTTTCTCGGTGATCTGATGGATTAACCGAGATAGCTGCTGTGTGGTGCCATTGTTTGGCCGAAAACCTGATTGGCCGTTGTGGAGGTGAGGTTGGATGTGCTTCGAGATCCGGTCACCAACTATTCTCTCTTGCACTTTCGACGTCACGCTGAGCAGCGATATGGGTCGATAGTTGGAGGGCTTGGTTTAGCTGCCCTTCTTGTGGATCGGGTGACTGTTGCGTCCCTTCACTCTTGCGGGATAGTGCAACGATAGAAGGAGATGTTAAAAAGGATTTCTAGGGACGGCGCAAGTGAACTGGCTGCCTCTTTCAGTAGTCGGGTTAGTATGTCATCACAACCCGGGGTCTTTGACGGGTCAAGGTTAGACAGTAGCTTTGAATCCTCTTGGGCTGTTGTTTCAAGTGTAGTGAGACCAGGTGTATTGGGTGTGGGGACATGAATGGAGAAGAATTCATGCTGGCGCCCTGTAACTGACTGTCGGCTCTGCCAGTTGAAGAAAGCGTTCAGGGTGGTTGTTTCAGCTGGGGTTGAGAGAGTGTGGCCCTGGGAGAGCATGTCTGGCAGAGTAGGTCATTGTGAGGACTGGAGGCCACGCATCAGTTTGTGTAGGTTTGGTGTGGAGTGGCTCGTCCCAGTGCCACTACTTACATACCGGTATGTAGACTTAGCGATTCGGAGAAGGTGAGGTATAGAAGAACTTGTAGTTCCCTGGTCCCTTTTCTATACTACTTCCTCCGCTGCATCGAAATTGTTGCAGTTTGACTTTTGATATAAAACGGGGTATTTACTCACCAGCACTCGTACCAGAGGCAAGGAATCGGACAAAGGCGATAGTCATCAGTATAGGGTGACGGCAAAGTTCTATTTTCTGTTATTAGAAGCTGGAATTTTTGAACTAGACGCAATTTCTTCGCTGATGTCGCTGCGATGGTAATTTCGACTCGCCGAGATCAGTCAGGCGTTGCAGCCTGCACATTTCTCGTCCTTATGGCCATTCACTCAAGCCTCATCACTGTTTTACCTTAGCTGGGGTGAGAAAGACTTCGTGGAACAAGTGGTAGCACTTGGAGAAACATCGAGGGGTCAGCAAAGTAAATGCCTGCAACAACGATAAAATTTGTCGCTCTGGCTGAGACACTCAGTACATGATTGTACCTGCAAGAGCTATGTAGACTCTACACGTAGTGCTAGTGATGCACGCGCAGGTGCCGTACCATGGTAAACGAGTGATGCTAAAAAAGAGGGCGCGCTGGACGTGATAGTACACTTACCTGCATGAGCTCTGACCACACAGCTTAAATAAATGGGCATGCCTCGGCTAAAAAATGTTCTTTTCAAGATCGAGGTGATTCCGCCGACGGTAATCAACCGACCTCGCAACGATCGTGTGTTCTTACTAGGCTCCGTTGGTGGTGAAGTAGAAATCATCCAGAGCTTGTAGACGACAAGCATAGCAGCTCTTGTCCAGGTGGAGAAAGTCAAAGCAGGTGAGATGAGGCGCGACCAACTTTCAACCTTCCTTGAAATATTTCGGAACGATATTTTTGCGTCCATTGACATCAGCAACGACGAGGACTTCATCTCTGCATGAAAACTCTCAGTCCAACTGTCCTGGAACGTTACTCTAGTCTTCAGACTATCATACTGTGTAATAAGTTTTGAATGGCTTAGCTTATGGAGTTGTCAGTAACAAGTGACAAGTCACTAGTCAAACTGCGATAATTTCGATGACGCGGAGGAAGTAAAAATATTCATAAAAAAGTAAAAAAGGACCAAGGAACTGCAAGTTACACTATAATGTCCACTAACACCACCAGTTACTAAACAATCAGCTCATGCTATAACACTGCACGACACTGACCGACGGGACTGACATTCTACAACTAACCGGCTAACAGCTCTAGCTCATCTTTGATATAGCTTAGAACCTTCCAAGTTAGAAGGCTGTTGGAGTGCGCGTCCAATATGTGCTAGAGCTGTTAGCCAATTAGTTGTAGAACGTCAGTACCGTCAGTCAGTGTTTTGCAATGTTATCGCATGAGCTGATTGTTTAGTAATTGATGGTGATAGTGGACAGTATATCGTAACTTGTAGTTCCTTGGTCTTTTTACTTTTTATAAATCAATCCTTGGCTCTCCATCCGAGTTAACGAGAGAGCTTGGAAGGTCAGGGCCGTACGCTATGCTCTTTTGCCTAGCTAGCTCATCATGCATGTTAACTATTGGAAATGTTTTTTTTCATTGATTGGCTACATCAAAATTTCTCTTTGCATTTTAGGGTAAGAGAACACTGTCTACCAACCTGATGACCTAGGCAAAAAAATCACAGGGATGCTATAAATTTTCCATTTCTCCTTTTTTTAAAGACATAAATTGGGATTCGAACCCGCACTGTCGCCCTACATGCATTCCCCGATACACTTCGCAATCATACTCATTCTTCCAAGTTGCTTCGCGTTATGATCTTGCATTTGAAAGCCCTATTTGAATATTGTGGCCAGCTGTTTGTGGCCAGCTGTCTTTGATGGTACAGTACGGGACAGGTGCTAGATACACCTGACATGCCGATGGTACAAATAAACAAACAAACAAACCCGGAATTAATCCTTTGAGGACCAAGGACGAGTTATTTCATCCTCAAAAAGTATGCTGTATTCCCGAGGACGAGGATACTCGTCCAGTTGCATTACACAAAATAGTGCCTGACTCAAAGTACTCGTACGCTGTTGTAGATCGCGCGAATGACTTGGATACTTGCCTGCAGCATCTTCGAACTTGTGGGTGGCGATTCAAACAAAGCTGGGGGGGGGGGGTTCACGAGGTAGTTGGATATATTTATTTGTTTCACCTTCCCGTGGCCAGAGAATATAGGCCAATATGGAGGGAGGGGGCGATAGCCAGCCATGGCTATGTCACGCCCGTTCTTCGATCTCAAATAAAAATTCAAAGAGTGTAGTTGCTATTTTTTGAACTACTATCACAGCATATCAATCTCTCCTTCGTGCTGTTGTCAGTGGTTTTAGATCCTGCGAATGACTTGACTACTTGGCTGCACAGGCTGCAGCATCTTCGATCGCGTGGGTGACGATTCATATGAAGCTCACAGGTCTGCGAGGTGCTAGGAGGTAACGCTCGTCCTTCGAACTCAAATAAAAATTTCAAAATTCCAAAAGTGTAGTTGAAAATGTTGAACGACTATCACATCTATCTCTCTTTTGTTGTGGATCGCGTGAATGACTTGCATGTAGCTTCCTCAAATGCGTGGGTACCAATTCGCGCAAAGGTCGCAGGTCTGCGAGGTGCTAGGAAGTCACGCGCCCTTTGAAAAAATATAAAAATTCAAACTTTTTCAGTAGGTCCTATTTTTGAACTCAACCGTCGCGATCATGGCATGTCGTAATCTCTCATCGGTCTCCTTTCGGAGGCGTACGATACTATATTCATGGACAGCGACAGCGAGAACGAGCCATTGGACTCGAGCGGCGATTCTGAAGACGGAAATGACTCAGATGTTTTTGAAATCGAAAGTGATGGTTCTGACGACGACGAAATTAAGAAAAAGGGAAATCATTAACCACACAGCGAAAAGGCTGCAGCAAATAATATTTTAAATATAACTGAACCGGGTGCAAAATCAAGAAATCATAACAAGCAAAACAAACTAATAATAAATGGTAACTGAAGCCAAATATCATCAGCATAGCCGAACCGGGGAACATGACCCGTGCCACAATCAAGATATGACGCTTTGCTTCTTATTTCGGATGCTACATCAAGTTAGTCAATCTGATGGTAGTAGTCTTGGTCTCCATTTCCCAAAAATTCAAAAGCCCAGTTGCCAGGGCCATAACGTTGTGGAACTGGCCATTTACTAGTACCTTAATTGTAGCATTTTGCCCAGTGGCTGAATGGCATAACTCTATAGCGGTAAAAGGGTTAAGATTCAATGAAAACTGTATTGTGCTTATTACGCTAAATGTATATGTTGTGACCTACCGACACAGACAATGTTGTGTAACTGATCACGTGATGCATCTTCGGTTAGATTGTCTCCACTCAGAATTGACTTTACCACCCAATCAGGTGTCACTAGCCAAACACTATTGTTAATCTTGCCAGAGCTAACTGCGGATGAAATGCAGCCTGGATGGCTCGGGAGTGACAGTCCTGCCTTTGAACAACTAGTTATTGCAATGTCCAGGCTCGTCTTCAAGTGTGCGCTTGTATCTAAAATTAGAAGGCTTTCATTTCCCGCGCATTCGTATCTCTCTGAACATGCAAAAGAGGGCAGATTACACGAAAATCATTATTAACATCTTGGTTTACCAACCAAGCAATGTTTTTATAACTTCATCAGAGACGAAGTAGTGGTTGCGACTTCGGCGATGATGATTTGTAAGAAAGGGTTTGCTCCCCACACCGGAGCTCGCGCTATTCCGCCGATATGGACTTCTCGTGTGCTCTGGATGGCAGTCGTGAGTCAGTCAAGTGTCAAGTAATATCGGCGGAATAGCGCGAGCTCCGGTGTGGGGAGCAAACCCTTTCTTACAAATCATCATCGCCGAAGTCGCAACCACTACTTCGTACTGTTGTGCCCAGCGCGGGCTTGCGACTAGTTGGTTTGGAGGTGACAGCGTTGCGAATGACCGAGGGTCCTCAACGTCTGGTCTCACCGTCCAGGAGCGACACTGACTCACGCTGCTATCTGGTGTTCACGAGGTGTTTATCGCGCTGGAAGCGGAGCGTCTCTGTAACTTTGTATCCCTGGTGATGTTTGTACCTGGAGAGCACTATATAAGTGGTGCTCTTCAGGCACAATCTTCCTCAGCCTACTCAAGCTCAACTGATGAGGGGTGAATTCCCCGAAACACTGTGTATTGAGCAGGGAGTGGTGCTTTCTTGCAGGTTTGCCGAGTCGAAGGTTCGATGGACTTCTCGTGTGCTCTGGATGGCAGTCGTGAGTCAGTCAAGTGTCAAGTAATATCGGCGGAATAGCGCGAGCTCCGGTGTGGGGAGCAAACCCTTTCTTACAATTCATCAGAGACCCACTCATTATTGTTACTGAAACCCGGTTTGCGGAAAAGATGAAGGGTATTGGTGAAAGAAAAACCAAGTCTGAAAAAATTATTAAATAATATTTAAAAAGGAATTGAAAACTTAGAGACCTGTGAATGCAGTTCCTTGGTCTTTTTCTGTAATGCAAATTAAAAACTTTTATTTTCAAAGAAAAAAAGGATGGGCCATGACCCAAGTCGTCACCGCCAAAAGCAACCAGCACTATTCTTTCCGTAGATGTTGGAATCTAGGAATGATGAAGCAGGTATGTTCCAGTGTTCCAATATGTTGGTTCCCATTTGGTTTTTAATTCCCGCTGGTTATGGGAAAATAAATTGGGTTTAATTAAAAAATTAATGCCATTTACAAAATTCTCTTCTCTTTCCTAAACGTAGCATACCACCATTTCTTCAAAGGGGAACTTGAGGTAGCTTGAGGAAGTGAAGTTCATACCAGGGTGTTGTGTAACTGTAGGTGACATTTATAATTTCTTTTTCTTTCATATTATTATTAATTATTATCAGTCTAATCAATTCGTTCGTCGTTGTCAACGTGTGACAAAGTACTGCTTACCTTGAGTCCAAAACACAATTAACGAGTTGCGATAGTTCTTACTACGACGTTGCATGTTGTTTGTAGATTTACATCACGTACATGCAGCTTGGCAAGTTGTGTCACTATGCAATCCAATGCAATGCAATATATTCCACTGCACGTATTTCTCGTAACACATCAATGCTTACTTCGTAGGTGTATAGGTCCGGTCTTGCGTGATAGAGCTTTCTATATGATTGATTCTAAGAAACACCGACATTGACTGATCTTCGAACTGTTTCTTCTTTGTCTGCCCGTGCATTCTGTTCTCAAACAAAGCCTTCGTTCAATGTGTTTATATTTTCGCGCTCTGCAGATTGGTTTGCCTCACGCTCAGCTTTGTTTCCTTTTCTTTGTCAAGTGCATTATTACAACGTATGACTTGTGTACGCACTTATCACGTGACCTTTTGACCGCACGCGCTATGCAGTATGCACGCTCTATGCTAGTGCCTTTGAGCAATCGAAGCGATCCGCTTTTCTTTTTTTCCACGTCGCAGTCGTTCATGATCGCCATCTTTACGTTTGATTTTGAAGCGCGGTTGTATGCTTATGCAGCTGCCTTTTATCATCTTTCGATGATCGCCTTTCAGATTTATCCTTATTATGTATTCTCTCGCCCATTCTCTCACCCACGTTTGGAACGGTTGTCGGTTGTAGCATGCCAATGGTTGGATGCAAGGTTGGTTAGGATTGTTTAGTAACAATTCAGTAACAAGGCCAAGAAGCACAGCCGGGGTGAGGCTGCCAAATCTCGTTGCTATCAGTTCAGCAAGAGAAAATATCAGGTGAGCGGTATAGCGGGGTGAAGAGAACAAGAGAGCATCATGGGAAGAAAAACATTATACGGGTGGATGTTCACAAATAATTTGTGCATTCGATGGTAAAGAGAACAGGCAATTATTTTCTCATGTTGGAATTTTTATATCAGCTTTGGCTTTTTTGTTCATGTTGATCATTTTGGCTTCCTACAATATCTCCAGTGCACCACTTGGTTGCGTAAGAGTAGGCTGATGAATGTGTGATCCCAGCTCATTTGACACTGGGGTTGTGGCATTTTTGTCCATTCAAGCTTCCACGTGCACTTGAACATCAATAAATTATTAGATTTTTCCTTCTGTGGTCTCTCGTCGTGCTCAAGTAGTTGGTGCATCTTTGTTTGAAGGGTGGTTGTTTTTGCTGTGGACTTTTATTTTTCCTCATCAATAGCACGGGCATGATTGCCTTTTCGCCGTCTCATAGGTCCGGTTCTCACAGAAAGATGAAGTAAATTATATGAGGAAATGTATAGAAATAAAGACATGCAAGCGGTAAAAATATATTTAAAATGTTCGTGGTTCCATTAGAACGATGTGTTCCGTTCACTTGTCTCTTCCTGTGTGCTGGACTTTTCGCCTGTTATACAATACATGGTCATGGGCAGTTGCAGCCCCTTGGGCAAAATATTTTGTTCCGACAGTTATGCTGTTGTCCGAGTTGTTCTTCTTTTGTGTATGTCACTTCCATTACACATGGTTTCTATGAGACTTGACCATTGCTGACATTTTCAGAATGCATGAATAGCTTGTCATTGTGTTGGTCTTGCTGAAGATCGTAACCAGTTGTTAACCAGAAGGAAAGAGCTTGACGATGAGCCAGACTTTTGTTTACATGCAATGTCTGTGGCTGCCGAATCTGCTGAATGGTGGGTTGTATCATGTTAGATTGTGTCTTTGGCTTCTGTCCATCATCCTGTCTCCTCCTCGTCCAAATAGTCAACTTGTTACATGGATACACTGTCTATAATATTGATGATACAGATTCCAAAAAGCTGAAAGCTGAATGCGTTCTCACACTTGATGTAACAAAAGGCTCCTGCTGATCATCTCAGACACTTATTTGACAAGGGCGGCACACGAAGTCAGAGTTGGTAGTGAATTAACTCTCTCCCTCTCTATTTTCACTGTAATCGTATCGGGATATTCTTTCACAGTTCCAGCATATATCCTTTTGTGCAGTGCCTGCTCCACCTTGACGCAGCGCCGTTTAGTGGAGTGCCAGAAATGCTCCCCAACTGTTCTTCCCTTCCCAAGATTTCCGTTTTTTGGCACTACACCTCCATAGTGATAAAAAGATAAAGGAGCCATGGGGGGGGGGGGGGGGGGCAACTTCGCGTGGGAGCAGCCGCCCCATCATGTAACATTCAAATTACATGTCACTAGGATATTGATGCAGAAAGTTCCGGTTTTCGACATTCTATCACAAATACCGTACCTGAATTCATTGTGGAATAAACAAGGGGATGACACCTATCTGTAATATTATTAGTATTATTATTATTATTATTTTGCTTGTTCGCGTTGGCATCAACCTGCATAAAGCAGGTATAGCCTTCGCTTAACCCTTTCCATGCCATGGACGCGTGTACGCGTTTTTTTAGTATGAGCCGATTGGCCATGGACGCGTTTACGCGTTCTGCCTACACTGTACAATGTACACTGTACAGTACATGTGTATCGCGCGCTATAGACGAGTGTACAAACTGTCGTAACTCCGTCGAAATATCTCGGACTGCTAAGGTTGAGACACCGCTGGAAAGGTCTTGAGCTCAGCTTTCCAGAGATATAAAGCTCTTCGCGATACGACAAGGTATGACCGAGCGGCGATAAATTGAACGGCCAGAATGCGCAAATTTCAATTTTAGGCAATCGATTCAAATTTTTTGTTCACGACTTCGTGCAGGCTAGGGGATTTCCCCTAGACACAGCGCGTGCGCAGTCAGCTGCAACAAACGCGCTTGAATCTCAGCTTTCCAACGCAGTTTGAATCGTGAAAATCAGTTCACAATGAGCAAGAAGACGAAAGAAATCATGAGAGGCAGTCGTTTTGTTATTTTCAGGCATGGTAGGGGGACTTTGAGAGGAGATGGAAGTGGCTCTGGTATGCCTGTCGCGCTGTGAGTCCCTGAAATGGCTTCCTGTTGTCCAGATCTTTCCAATAAGCCATGGATCGTGAAAGTCCATCAAGGTACAGTGAAATAGCAATAAATTTCGTTCTGATGTGCGCGTGCAGCTTTGAACAGTTGAGCTCAGCGCCTGAACAATGCGTGGCCAACACAGGAAAACATGCTGGCATGGAAAGGGTTAAGCTGCCATAAAAAAGAAAGCTCATCCTAAGCGAGAGGGCTAGAGGAAAAGATAACGATAACGAGATACAGAATACAAAGAAATACAATGAGTTAAACATACGTATACAGTTCAAAACAAAACAGAGCAGAGCCGAAGTTACTAATCGGAGTGACAAATTTTGGTTCCGATTGATCCATCAATCGACAAAGGGACTAATCCGTTAATATTGCAAAGTAGAAACCGAGATGCAGTTGCAGATCTCCAGGCCAGGGCCAGCATATTGCCGATTCTGGATAGGTCTCTGCAGCATTTGATGTGGTAATTATTATCATAATTAGTGATAAAATTGTTAGAGTATCTAGAGTATCTTGTGTAATTGTATCCGATATTATCAGCATGTGAAATCGTTTTACATGGCGGTATATCCATAGCACTATGATCTCAAGCACAGCTAAAGCATCACCACAATTACAGTTGAGGCATGTCGTCAATTGCTCTGTGATTCAGAGCCGGATCACAATATTTTTCCATTGAGCTTCGGACTGCATCGCAACCTTGTCATTCCTTCAGCTAACCCTTTTGCTGCTAAGGACGTATATTTACGTCCTTGAGAATGACAACCCCCATCACCCTCCTTGGTGTGAAAGTGGACGCCAAGTTGACCTTAACGATCACCAACGCTCCATAGCTACCCGTGCACGCTACCAGCTTGGGGTTCTAACCAGAGCCGCCCACATCTTCACCACGGGCGGCCGGACGACTGTATATAAGGCGTTCGTACGATCAACCATATGGAGCACTCGCCTCCTATGTGGATGAGAGCTGCGCAGAGTCACCTCCAGCGTCTGCAAAACGTTCAGTGCCGCGCATTTCAGGTTATTTGCCCTGGTGCACACCTACCCAGCTTGGCTGTCCGCTGTACTGTTGCCTGCCTGTAGAAGCTGCACTACTTTCCTGGTCATTTGTAGGTGCTCTCTGTGTTGCCAGCTCGCCGTATCCCCTCTACCAGCCCCAGAACTCGCAGCAAGCATGGTAGCACCAGTGGCCATGACCAACAGCTCCAACACCAGTTGCCTTCATCATCCCTCTGGCACTTAAGGGCTCGTTCCCACACTGCAGTATCAGCGATTGGAACTCCCTCCCTGCCGCTCTTCTGCCCTAGCCTCCACACAGCAAGAGAACGCAATCATTCAAAATGTTTATCGCCATCTTCGCAGCACAATCTGGCTCTGGGGAGTCGATTCGCTATGAATAGTATGATGCCAATTTGATGACAATTTTTTCCACACACTCGCTGATGTTAAGCTTTGGGATTTTCATTTTTCTGACTTGTACAGCTCTATCTTCTTTTTTTCTTCTTCTTTTTGTGCGTGTTTTTGGCCGTGACACCTAGACATTAGGTTGGCAGAGCCATCAGTGCCCCACCATCACTGCTGCGTCTCGGTGCAGTGCGTGTGCATTAGTTGTCACGTTTGTCCTAGTCTCCGTACCATTGTCTGTCCTCATTCTTGGAGCTGGTAATGTGAACATAGTAAAAAAGTAAAATATAACATATAGTGTTGAAGAGAAAACTCTTAGCCACCGACTGCAACAATCATCAAAGCCACACGAGAAAGGCCCGCGGAGTTATGGCGCTCGACGGCTACACAGCTTCACACGGCCAGACCAATAATTATTATTTTTGCGCGATGCGTGGGTGCTCGGGTTTTTTTCCTGAATTTTCGCCACTTGGTGCCATGGCAACCGCCAATTAAATCGCATATCATTATGAGCATATGCAAGCCTCACTAACATGGCGAGCAACCCCAGAGATGAGGGCACTACCGGTCATGCATCCATTGTGCACAACTTATGCATATTATGCACAGCTTACAAAGGAAAAATATAACCCAGGAACCCTTATGCAAGCGGTTAACTACTTATTGATTTTGAACGGTTACATAGCCGGTTAAACTAGGTAACAGCTCCACCCCTAATATAAGTTCACCTTTGAAACTAACATCCACTCCAACATCATCGCAAGTTAAAGAGTTCTATTCAGCACTCAATCTGCGGACAGAACTGTTTCATCCTTTTGTATACTCATCAGCACAGCACAGAGAAAATGAGGCCCAGGCCGTTTTACCGTATTCAGTATAAAAACCTATATAAACTTGTATAAAAGAAGTATTTTTTAGAGAAAACTTGGAAAGCCTAGAAAAACGGGTTCTCTCCCCAAAATTGATCTATACTTCAAAAGGAAATTTTGGCCGGAATACGACAGATCCAAGTGTTTTTTTCCCTTCCATGACAAAATTATTCAACTGCTTGCTAGTTTAAGGATGCTCTTTTCTACACACTTACGTGAACAAAGGCCATTTGACCAATTAGAATTTTTGTTGCAACATACAAAGGACCCGTTGGTGTTGTAACATGTATCCTGTTCATTGCAAAAACTACCATTTGATATAGCGCATTCATCTATATCTGAAAATCAAAAGAGAGAAATTGTAACAACAATACCGTGTGGTTATACGCCATTGTTACACAGCTCAGCATAATGTGGTAGCGTAAGTGCAGTCTGGCGGCGGAATCTCATATCTTTTTGTCATAGTCCCACCATTATTCACACCTTGTTTGAGTGTGAGTGTGGGTGCGAGCATTTTGTTACTTCTGCCCGTACAAGAGGCTGGTTTCAAAAAAAGAAGAAAAAAGGTGTGGGTGTGAGTGCAGTGACATTATATTTTAGAAATATTGCAACAATAAAATAATATACTTTCACATTACGGGTATTTGGTATAACCCCACACCAGTCATTGTTGAATATTCGATAATAGCGTGGATTTCCCAAAAATATATTTCTATTTTTGTTATCCTCTCCCATGCCGTTGTACATAAGCGACTTGCCGCGGATATGTCAATACTACCGCTACTACTATATTGGTATCAAGAATGTGAATGTAGACAGTTTCTAGAACTTTCAACTGCTTGAAACTACTTGCAGAATGAATAACACTGAACCAAGAATCATCATGTTTCTCACGACACACTGGGTTAGACAACAAATGCAATTTAATTGCCAAAGTAAAAAAAACAACCCAGCACGCAGAACAAACCTTAATGTAAATGAAGACGAACACCGTGTCAGAATGGACTAGGATAGAGAGCCAAGGATAAATTTATCTTCTAGTTTCTTGGCCCTTTTTTAATTTTTTACTATAAACACTGTGTTACATCTTTATTATCAGCAATTACCGGTACTCCGCACGCAGACAAAGTCAACACGCCAAAGCTGAGAAGGAGCAAACGGCTGGCAGCAGCTCGGTTTGCAAGAGATGACGGCGAAGATGCATGAAACTCTCCGGATCTGGATGATGCCAGCAGAATAGTTGACGTCTGTCAGGTGCTTGGCAATGACAAAGGAAGACCGTTCAGAAAGAGAATGCGACGACAGCAGGAGGAATATGGAAGCGAAGATGTGACGACGACGAACAGACTCATGACAAACTAACTCATCCTCTGCGTCCCGGGTTTCGGCACCATGTTGTTACGGAATCTCAGCCATTCCGTTCCCCGGGACGCAGGACACAAGGGACAAGACTTGTTTGTAACATTATATATTTTGACATTACGGAAAAGCATACTGCTCTGACAGAGACGAACAAGAAGACTGACAAAAGGACTCTCGACTACAAAATCGCGCATGCTCATATCACACATGCACGCGACTAGACGATACAATTTGGGTAATGCCATCACACAGGAAAACAACACATCATTTCACAACAAAGTAAAGAAATACGCGGCAAGGCAACGGCCCGATAGCTCGTTCCAACAGGTGTTTGTGTTAAAAGTCTGCTGAGGAGCTTCTGCGGGTACTTGTATCCGTTCTTCACAAATACGAGCATAGAAAATTAAGTTCCTGCCGTTTAACAAGGTTACGAACTAAGTTAGACTTGTACTGGGAAGTGCAAAACGAGTCAAACATCATGTATTGCGCGGTGAAACGGGTTTAGGGTATACCGTAGTTAATACACCAGTCTGGGTCTTTTCGACTAACACATCCAGAAAAGATAGCTTATTCGACTCTTCATGTTCACACGTAAATCTTAGTGCAGGATGGATTGCATTCAGTTTCTTTCTTTATTAAAATGTTCTCCGTAGATTCACCAAATCATTCTTCTCCTCAACGACATAGATTTACTGTAAGAATACTGGAAATCAGAGCGACAACGCTCAGAAAAAACCTACACACGGATTTCCCTCTACTGTACAAGCCATTATTCTAACGAGGTGCATATATAACGATTTCCCAAAATCGACTGGTTTACGTGTACCAAAGATAACGATTCGCACTTATTCTCAACGCTCAATAGGACAGTATATGTATCGATTTTTGTATAACGATTTCTATTTTAACGACAGATTTCTCCTCGTTAACTCGTGGGAGTTAGCACTTCGTTATAAATATGGCTTTTACAGTACTTGACCGATTTCAAAATTTCTTTCCATAGATGTCCGCATACTTGGCCGTCAAAGCAGCCCTGCAATTTTCAACGCCGTAGATAAAACGGCTGCTGCCAAGGAACCCTTTAAAAATCGCCCAAATATTGCAATATTTCGAATTTTCTGTAATTCTGATTGGCTGCACGTCCCTGACACGCACGTGCTGCGTGCGTGATGCATCAAAAATGGCTGCGATGTTGTTATGTCTGGCCCTAAGGGCCCACACACAGCATTACTCAGGTTCGTACAGTTATTGTAATAATCAAGGAACAGAAAGACAAGGAAAAGAGAGCTCACATTCTCGGACCTAGTCCAGCACAGCAAGCATGCAAAACCAGCCACGAGCCCAGGCGCGCATGCGCGCCTTATCACATCACGTACACAGCAATCGCCCCCCAAGAATTTTTCCCGGGGTAAAATTATAACATAAGCAAAGAGGCACTCAAATTTGGCGCCGACAGATATAGCTGTTGACACTACAACGGCCAGATAATACAAAAGCAAAAAAGTTCAAAAACATTGCACACATAATAATTATACTTATAACAGTTACTGCAGCTTCCAGAATAGTCCATGAGAGCTGAGCTATAGATCGAGGTAGGAATGACAGATAAAGTCAGCCAATATTGCATAGCGTTGGGGAATTAGATCAGATCGGAAAAGGAACCATGCAAATGTTTCAATGAATTAAACGAAAACAATCTTATGTGAAGACTGTTCGTCATGACCTACATGTAGAATATTCATCTGGCCCAGAAATGTCCACTTCCTACACTCAGGCCGCATCAGATCAAAGTAACAGGACAAGCAATACATACTCAAAGGCAATAGTACGGATACTTAGCAGTTCTCAATCAAGCGCTTGGGCGCGGAGACATGTCGGTCGGAGCGACGCAAGGGTGCCGGTGCAACAACACTGGGAGCCGTCTCGACTCCAACGGCGTCTGCTGCTGGGGCTAGCGTATCATCCGGCCTGACAGCGCTACTGTTGCTACTAGCGTCCGGAAGTGGTAGAGGAGAATCTAGCACTGTCGGCGGGTCACTGGTCGGTGTAGGCAGCTGTGCGACCGCCTGGTCCGCAGAAGACGAAACGGGTACTTGGCCAAACTGCACCGCCCGCAGTCGTAGTTGGTCCCTATGGCGCTTCCAGACGACATCATCCACCTGTACTCCGAAACTGTGAGGGCTGTGGATATGCACTACAGTAGCTGGTACCCAAGTTGCTCCACGACCAAAGTTCAGGGCGAACACAGCGTCACCGGTGTTAAACTTTGGCGTAGTCAAGCTCTCCTGGTACACCTTGACCTGCCGATGACTCTCAGACTGCCGCAATGCACTGAGCCGGATTCTCGGTTGCCGGCCCATTAACAGCTCCGCCGGCGTCTTCCCACTGGTGGTCGGCGTTGTTCGATGCGCTAAGAGAAACCGGTCGAGCCTGACGTTGAGTGGTTCACCAGTATTCGACATTTCTTTCATCTTCTGCTTGAAGACGCCAACGTAGCGTTCGGCGAGGCCATTAGTTGCTGGATGACCTGGCGCCGTTGTTGTGTGTAGAATGCCATTGCCATCCAGGAACGCCTGGAATTCCGCACTCGTGAACTGACTGCCGTTATCTGTAACCAAGTGCTCAGGCAAACCAAACACAGAAAACAGATGGCGTAAAGCAGAAATCGTGGTCGCACTGGTTGCATGAGCCATGGGTATTACATCCAAGTACTTAGAGTAAGCATCTACCACCACCAAGAACATTTTTCCCAGAAATGGCCCGGCAAAATCAATGTGTATCCGTTTCCATGGACCCGTCGGCCATGACCAAACACCGGGTTTTGCCGGTGGGCATTTGGCATTCTCTTGGCATTGCAAACACGCATTGACTTTAGATTCTATATCCTGGTCAATATTGGGCCACCACAAGTAGCGCCGGGCCACTTGCTTCATTTTCACCATGCCAAAATGCTCTGCATGCAGATCTCGTAGCAAGAGCATTCGAAGTGAGTTAGGAATCACCACCCGGTTGTCCCATAACAAGATATCATTCTCCACAGACAATTCCATTCTCTTGCTAGCATATGCCTTGAGGTCTTCCTCAATTTCAGCAGGCCACCCATTAACCGTATAGCGAATTACTTTAGCCAATACAGAATCCTTTGCCGATTCTGCTCTCACCACAGCTGCTTTGATTATTGAGTCGTTCTCGATAAGCAAGACCTGTACCGTGACGGTCTCCTCCTCGCTCGGTGACACAGATTGCATTGGTTGTCGCGAGAGAAAATCCGCATGGACGTTTTCTTTCCCCGCGAGATACTGCATTTCGTAATCATATGCCGCCAGTTGCAATGCCCATTTCTTGATTCGATTAGAGGCGAGAGTGGGGACATCCTCGTGATTTCCCAGTAACTTCAAGAGTGGCCGATGATCAGTGACCACTATGAACTCTCTACCGAGTAGGTACTGGCGAAATTTGGTCACTCCGAACACCACAGCCAATGCTTCTCTTTCAATTTGAGCATAGCGTGACTCTGCTGGGGTCAGCTTACGCGACATGAATGCGATCGGTCGTAATTCACCATTCTCCTGCTTCTGCAGTAGGACTGCGCCAAGGCCCACTCCCGAAGCATCCACTTGCAACACTGTTGGCCTTTGTAAATCATAGTGTGCCAGTAGGGCTTCTGAACACATAGCATCTTTCAATTTGCCAAAAGCTTGCTCGTGAGTGGTCTCCCAGTGCCATTTCCCACCCTTTTTCAAGAGGTCGTACAAAGGAGCTGCAATTTCTGCGAAATGAGGCACAAACTTCCGCACGAAATTTGCAGAACCGATGAAAGATTGCAATTCGGCAACATTCTGTGGTGGTTTGGCCATTTTCAGTGCCTGTATCCTGGCTGTTGAAGGGGAGACGCCCTGCCCACTGATCGTGTGACCTAAGTAAGAGAGTGCCTCAGCCATGTAACAGAATTTCTCCGGATTCAATTTGAAACCTTTCTCATCCAGTCGATGGAGTACCCGGTCCACGTTTTCCTCATGGATTTCATCATTTTCCCCGGTACACAGCACATCATCAATGTACCCGCCGCTGCCTGGTAGCGCAACCAAGGTTTCTTCCATTACCCTTTGGAAAATGGATACGGCACTGTGGAAACCAAACGGTAAGCGTTTGTACTGGTACAGGCCCTGAATTGTGTTGATGGTGGTGTATTTCCTGCTTTCCGGTGCTACCTCTAGCTGGTGGTATGCTTGGGACAAGTCGAGTTTGGTAAACTTCCCTCCCGGGCCCAACTTGTGCAACAATTCCTCGAGGGTGGGGAGTGGGTACTGTTCACATTCTGAATGCTTGTTAATAGTCCCACTGTAATCTGCGCAAATCCGTAATCCTCCTCCTGGTTTCTCTACTTGTACCGTTGGTGAGGCCCATTCGGAATGCGTCACTTTCTCAATCACCCCATCAGCCTCGAGTTTGTTCAACGCGTCGATGTACCGCTGTCGAATTGCTAGAGGTACTGGTCTTGCTCGTTTGTAGACCGGTTGTTCATCTGACACGTGCAGCTTTACTTGCACCCCTTGCACCGTACCCACAGTGGAGTTGTCAAACAGATTCGGGTATTTCTTAACGAAATCGGTAGTGGATTGCCCGCCAGTGCCCACTTTGAATATAGATTTCCATGGCAAAGTAAATCTGGACAAGACATCCCGGCCTAAGAGAGAAGGACCATCACATTCAGTAACTCTGACCAGAACATTCTCCTCTACACCACCCAAAGCCATTTTCATTTCGATTTCACCCAGACATTTGATTGGATTTCCTGTGTATGTAGATAGGGTGATGCTGGATGGTACCAGCTCAGACACGGAGCCATTGCATTTCAGAAAATCATTTTTTCCTAGCAGTGTGACGGTGCTACCCGTATCAATTTCCAAGTGCACCTGGACCCCATTTAGCTCGACAGGCGTAGTGTACGGTGCTACAGCTCTGTCACTCATGGTGGCATTCACATTCAACATCGGTACAGAATCATTACAAGGAACAAGCTCACCGGGGTTTGATGTTGTCCCGACATGCTTGACGGACCTGGCCGCTTTCTTCTTTAGGCAGGCTCGTTCGATGTGTCCCAGTTTGCCGCAAGCACGACACTTCGCAGATTTGAAGTGGCACTCATCCGGTCGATGTCCCAGCTTGTCACAGCGGAAACAGGGCTTGTCAGATTTGAACGTGGCGTTGTCGGCGAGCCCCGGCTCTCCGCGTACTGCATGAACCTGCGTTGAAAACTTCTCAGACTCGCGGAAAGCTGTCTCATGAGCCGTGGCCATGTCGACAACCTGCTGAAATGTTGTCGTCTCCTCAGCCTTCGCCAGGATTTCCTTCGTCGTGCCGGTAGAACCGATCGCAGTGATGAACTGGTCACGCAAGGCCCTGTCGAGACAAACTTGCAGTCCATGGCTGCCCGTTTCAATCGAGCCGCGAACATGATCGCAGACTCGCCCTCCTTCTGCAGGGTTTTCTGAAATTGATAGGTGGCAGCAACTATACTGATCTTGGGCTTGAAATAATCACAGAGGAGCTTCAGCAACTCTTCGAACTTCTTCTGCCCTGGTTTATCTGGGAGGCACAAATTCTTCAATGTGGAATAAACCTGACCGGATAGTTGACTAATCAGCACGGCGCACTTTTTCTTGTCTGCCGCTGCCTGTACTGTCTCGGTTGCATCGTCTGCAACTTGGCCAATGTCATTAGCCAGAAAATGAAAATTGAGTCTCTCTGCATACTCGTCAAAATCCCCAGTTTCGAAAATTTCTAATCTGGAGTTGCGTCCTGCCATCTTCGTCGCCAATTGTTATGTCTGGCCCTAAGGGCCCACACACAGCATTACTCAGGTTCGTACAGTTATTGTAATAATCAAGGAACAGAAAGACAAGGAAAAAAGAGCTCGCATTCTCGGACCTAGTCCAGCACTGCAAGCATGCAAAACCAGCCACGAGCCCAGGCGCGCATGCGCGCCTTATCACATCACGTACACAGCAGATGTCTAAGTTCATGTACACATATGCTACCCCTGCAGTTTTAACCCTTTCTATGCCGGGGCCCCTTTTCTCCAATCGGCCGGCTGTCCAGTGCACTGACTCTCTTGGTATAGTTTGTGCGCACAGCTCTGAATGGAATTTATTCTTATTTCACTCCACAATGATGGATTTTCATCATCCTGGGCTCGTTGGAAAGATCAGGACCAAGCGAATCCATCATGGTAGATCTCAGCAACATAGACACACCAGGGCCACTTCCATCTCCTCTTCCTCCCACTCCACCGTGCCTCGGAACGGCACAACAACTCAATATCACGTTCTTGTTCGGCATCTTGCCCAAATAATAATTCAACTGATTTTCACGATTCGAACTGCGCTGCAAAGCTGAGATCCAAGCGCTTCATTTGATTTCCATCACGCATGCGTCATGGCAAAGGGAAATCCCCTAGCACGCTCCAAAAAACTGCGAAATCATGAACAAGTCAAACATAAGTAGTCAAAATTAATATAATTATTGCGTATTTGACTAAGCAGTGAAATACGCGATGTATTTGACCGCTTATGTATCAGGGAAATTAGTGAGGTCAAATACTAAGAAGGCGATAATACAAATAATCTACGTGGAGATAAAAGTTTAATAATAGCTATGAAAAGTATGAATACCGCAGACATCACCACGCAACATGACAATTTGTTCAAGGTTTGGTTTGTGTGTGTCTACCACCAACACAAGCAAGTCGAACACACGGTGCAGAGGAAGAGTGGTGGATCACTAAGCCAACCGAATGTGCCTTCTCCACCTTTGCCCTTGCCGCCACCGGAGCCACCACCAGTGCCGTTGGTGGGCTGGGGTTGGGAGGAGTCGGCAACAACCACAGTACCGCCAATCACAGAAATTGATCCCATTTCTTTGACACAGTATCCGGCTGTGCGGACACCGCAGCACCCTCCAGCGCTTGATCCGTGGGTCCAGAGACCACGGAGGTCGACCGCGAATTATTCAACCGAAATATATGCTAGGAATGGCCAAGGCCCACGCGGAGCATCGAAGGAGACCGGAAGCCGAGGGCAAAACGGAACAAAATCTCGGGACGTAGATGATGTAAGGACAGTGGCACGGGACAGACGTAGGAAGGAGAACATGGATGGTATCAGACGACTGACTGGTGGTGAATATGAGTTGGGTGATGATGCGGCGGATGACGAGGATACAGATGACGACGAGGCGGACGACGGCGAGGATACAGATGACGACGAGGCGGGTGATGACCAGGCGGCGGATGACGACGAGGCGGATGACGATGAGACGGCTGGTGGTGATGGTGATAAAACGGACGAGGGAAGAGTCAGGTGGCAGGGAAGGTGATGGAGCTGATGAGGGTGAAATTCGTAAGAAGTCAGCTGTGTACTAGCTTTTGTTATCTCGTCCCGATTGTTTGAGTGTTTATGATGATTCCCACTTTTCTGTACTGTGTCGTGCCCGTTATGTCCAGCAGTTGAAGGTCCTTGAAGCTGCTTGTATTCGTACTCATAAGCCCGATTTGTGTAAGCAAAAAGATGTTTTAGCACTTAGGTTATTTTCGTGAGTTTGCACCCCGTGTTCATGAGTTGTTTCTGCACTGTTCATGCCCGGTTGTCACACTTACTCTTTATTTTAGTTCTCACTTTTTGTAATACTTACCACAAGTTACCCGTCATGTGTCACACTTCTTTGGATTTTTAACCTTTGTTTTTTCCTTGATCTCTTTAGTTCCGTATTTGCACTGATGATCGGAGCGTGAAAATCGATTTTGAAAACACACAAAACCAAACCTTGAACAAATTGTCATGTTGTGTGGTGATGTCTGCGGCATTCATACTTTTCATAGCTATTATAAGGCGATAAAAGATACATATTATTGGAACACTACACATGGCAGAACAACAGAGACCAAAAATCCTTCTCGTGTTTCAAAAACACTCATCAGACTCCGACAGACGATAAACCATAATAATGCTAGTCGCTAGCTGCTAGCATGAGTGATATAGACAAAGGTTCTGTTGAGCACTTTCCCCTGAGCTGCATACAATGGACCGACCAAAACGGATGGACATCGACTACTCGCTCAAGAACGTACCTATAACTAGCGAACAGCATTATTATGGTTTATCGTGTGATGAGTGTTTTTTGAAACACGAAACTCGGAGTCACGAGAAGGATTTTTGGTCTCTGTTGTTCTGCCCTGTGTGATAAGCTCTGCCCCTTTTTGAGGTGTTGAGCACTGTTTGCAGCAAAGTCTACAGACACTTTGTCCATTATTGGAACACGAAACTTATTATAGTGTTACCATAAGGATGAACAAGAAACGGGGTGACACTTCCATGGAAAGTTCATTGTGTGAGTGCACATTTCCTGGAGTTATCTTTTGAAACCAAGACTTTCCTACTTGCTGAATGACACTACATCTAAATCCGAATGGGAAAACATTTTCGAGTATAATACACGACCACAAATATAGAATCACATTGGACTAACCTTCGCAAACGGCAGTGAACTCCCAAGCTCCAGTTGTCTGGTTGCATTTGGGAGTATTGGCATCACGCACTGGTCTATAGCCCTGGGAGCAAGTCACATTTCCGGTGTCTGAAATAGACTCATAGCCCGTTGCATGTTTGTCCTTCCAGGAGCACGCTGATGCATTAAACAGAAATTCAGAATTGGCATCAATAGATATGAGGAGGACCAATGATGCTTGAGTTGTCACGGTGTACCATACTATAGAGCTTTGTACTATGTTGCTTGTCTTGTCCATTCTAACTGCCTTATACAGGCCAGCCACCAACTTAAGAGACAGTGTCTGTAAAACCGAACAAATTACACCCGACATGGGCACATTTCCGATATCGCGAGGTGTGTGCAATAAAGAGCTAGACGCGCAACCACATGTACAACAAGTCCGTCAAGACTAACGCCAAAGTTGTCTTCATCAAGTTGATCCGAAAGAACTTCGCGCCCGCATCCCCACTGGCAATTGTTTTAACAAACATACCATAAAGATCAGCTATAGCTGCCTCCCGCATGTCGTCGCCTTTATCAAGGGCCACAACAGAAGCAGGCTAAACCCGCCCCAGCAGGCAAGCACTGCAACTGATGGAAAAAAGAAGAATGCCCCATGCAGGCCGCCTCGTGCCAGGCAGCTTGCACCGTATACGAAGCCGCAGAGGGCACCGAAAACAAAGAATATAGTGGTCTCTCAGAGACACCATTCAAGGTACGACAACCACAAGCTGTCAATGCACCATGTGAAATATCAACAAAGCACGGAGCTTTTGAGCCACTAATGGTAACTGCAAAACGAAGGAACAGAACACAGCATCGTGAGGAAGAGGGCCAGCTCATACAGCCCAGCCTCCAAGCGCTGCAACTTGTGCCTGGCCGAGAAGCTGGACATTATCACTGCGGATAAAAGCACCCTCCTGAATTCGCGGTGAGAATTCGTCGCGAAGCGCAGGCACAACAGCAAGTACATGCTAGCCAAGTATACGGGCGTTACATAGACTCTCTGTTAAGTCCCACGCGGAAAGCACCTCCAGAATCTTACAATCTTATCACTGCCCCCTTTTCCGAATCACTTCTCTAATTCAGACCTTCCAGCAACCGATGCGTTGACTCGATCCACATCTAGTCACAGCAGCTCACACAATCATTCTTGAAGGCTGTATATGAATGCAATGTGCAACTTCCTCAAAAGAGTGCCATAGTGTGCCTATATAGCGATCAGCATGGCGATAATGGTGTCAGCAAGCTGACAAGAGACACAAGCGAAATACATGAGAATCCAGAAGAAGTGTCAGTGGCAAGGACCAGCGCCTGGAAAATGCTACAACAACGCGAGCCCAGATTTGCCCGGTAAGCCTTGGCAGGAGATTGTTATTGATACTCTTGAACTTGGTTCTGACCGCAGTGGGCGTTTTCATTGTGTTCTTGTGATTGTTGATGTGTTTACTAAATGGGTCGAGGTTGTTCCCCTACGTGCGCATGATGGTCAGTCAGTTGCTGAAGCTGTGACCGATGTTTGTTTGAAGTGGGGCTCCCCAGAAGTTGTTCGTATGGACAATGGTACTGAATTTGTGAATGGCATTGTCGAGTCATTGTTTCGTGTGTTTGGCACGAAGGTGCGTACTGGTGCAGTTAGGCATCCCCAGTCTCAGGGTTCTGCTGAGCGATTTAATCGCACTTTGTTGACCCTCATTCGCAAGATGCTCGACTCCTCGAGTGATTGGAAGTCTGAGTTGCCTGTGCTGTTGCACTACTACCGTACGCGACTCCATGCCGCGATTGGTGTGTCCCCAATGGAAGCTATGTGTGGATGGCTTCCACGTCAGTTAATTGTTGACGAGTCTGCTGTTGGTTCTAGCCTTAGTGTTTGGGTGGACAGCCTTGCTGGTCGGTCTGCTCGTATTCGTGACTTTGTCGAAGCTGAGTTGTCGTCTCATGATTTTGTTGAGGGCAGCGCTTCCAATCCATATGCTGTCGGTGATGCTGTTTTGCTCCGTCACCCCGCTCGTTCGCAGAAGCGCTTGCCACCGTTCGAAGCTGGGTGGAAGGTCACCGAGATCCTTGGTCCTGGTTCCGTGCGTGTGTGTCGTTCTGTGGATGGTTTTGATCAACAGAAGTCTGTTAACATTCAGTTGATTAAACCTGCTGCTGAATCTGTGTTGTCGTGTGAGTCTGGATCTGTGCCTGCATCGCCCGCGCAGTGTGATCTCGATGTTGAGCAGTTGGCTGTCGCCGATCGTAGTCTGCGTAACCGTCGTCATATCCAACGCCCGAGTCGCTACATCGATTGACACTGTGTTACCTGGGGGACTGGTGTAAATATAGAGATAACACTGTGGTAAATCGACTGCTTGTATTGTTACAAAAGTTCTGACGATATTAGTTATTTGATTGTATTCTTACTTTGTAGCTGCGTCCAGGCTCGTTGGAATTCTCATCACGGACTCCATTCTAGTTTCGAAGAGATATATATTCTTGTGCAATTGTTCTCAAACAAATTCCTCGTCTTGTGCATTTGTTCTCAAACAAATTCTTCGTAGTATTTGCAGTACGTAGTCTCGTGCTCTTTGATTTGTTTGACTCGCGCGTGACTTTCCTTTCTTTTCTTTTTTGTCATGTATGACGTATCGGTATGACGCGAGTGTGTACGCACTCTGTTTATGACCACGTGACTGCATGCTCACGTGGAACTACTGTCAGTAGGCTAGTGCATTTTAGCGACTGCAGCGATCCGATCTTCTTGCTTCAGCGCTGTTTCTTCTTCTTCACTTATGTCTTTTCTTTGGTCGCTGCACTAGTTTGTGATTACCATGATTACGCGTCAATGGACGACATGGTCGCCATTTTGTGCATGTCCTTTTTTTCTTGATGGATCTTGGATCTCGTGGAAAAAGCCTTGAACAGTTTTCTTTTCTCCCAACTTTACCACTATTTCAATATTTCAACTCTCTTGATTCCTTGTTGATAGTTGTGGCTCAGTGCATGTGCGAGTGTGCTGGAGTGCTAGCTGGAAGAGATAGAGAGCATAGTGGTGGAGTAACAAGTCTGACTCTCTCCCCCTCGTGATCCTCTGGCGCAGGATGTGGATGAACCGATCACACCAAGCTTGCACTCTTCCACCCCTTGTTCCATGTGGAGTGCCATGAAGGATCCATTGGGTCGCCCACCGATCCGGTTGCGAACGTCATTACGACCTTCCTCTTCAACTCACCTGGTAACTCTCGCGGCTTGCGGAGCTCCGTGGGTGGCCACTTCTCCGGCGACTTCCTCAGGAATTGGGGTCCCTGCCACCACGCGTCGTCTACGGCCACGTCACAAGCCTACATGCCGCGGGTGTTCTTGTCAGCTCGGTTGATCTTGACCGGAAAATGCCTCCACTGGCGTCCATCAGTAGCTGTCTGAATTTCACCGATTTTGTTGGCCACATGCACTTTGAAGTCCCTGGAGTGCGATTTGATCCGGTAGAGAACGTTCTGTAAGTCAGTGCAGAAGACGTGATCTTTGAGCGGAATGCCGAGTTCTTCTCCAACTACAGTACCCACACGCACTCCGAGGGCAGTACCATGAAGATCCGGTTTGGGGATGGTAACCTTTTTGATGGGTGCTGCGCGTGCTTTGGCGACTGCAAAACTGAAGGTCACCCCAACGTGTCCCTCCGGGTGCTCAACTATGACAAAGCTGGCTGCACCAATGGCATGGTCCGATGCATCTGTGAACGAATGCAAAGTGAGCTTTGCCTCGGAAGCACGGCGTGCGCTGTCTTTGAAGCACCAATTGCCTTTGGTTTTGCCTAGCTTCGGTAACTCTGGAAACCAACAAATGAACCTCTACTCTTTCTTCTTGGGTAGTTGATCATCCCTACTCACCTTAAAAGCAGGCAAAGATCCCGGAACAAGTTCCTGTTGGGAATGATAATTGGTGATGTCTATCCGCTAAGGTTGAGTATACGGGCCATCTTAGCCAGAACCGTCTGCTTGGTCTGAAAAAAAGTTGTTCCGGGGGATGATAGAAGAAGGTGAAGGTGTCATCCTTGACACTCCCAGAGACTCCCAGAGACTCCTAGCGTTTCCACAGCTCCAGATGTCAATCCCATTTTGTCTGGTTCGAGTGCCACCATCGCGTCTAGTGCTCGATCCTCTTACGGAATCGACTCGAGAACTGCATTGCTGTTACTCCGCCGTTTCAGGTGAAGAGATCCGCCGTCCAGCAAACCTGCACCCCTTGCCGTACTCGAGTGGCTTCTTGTTCGTCTGGTGAACTTCCAAGCAGGTGGACCATATCAGGTGGCGGGAAATTCTGCGTCTCGGTGTGACTAACACATTGCCGTTCGGTTCGTGTCAATGGCTGTTGTGATGTCCGTTTGAGGTTCTGCATGTCGGAGAACTCTTTGCAACAATTCTGCCCATCTACTCTATGCACCCAAACTCCTTTCTCCACCAATTTTCTATGCTCCTCTTGTGCATTTGCCAACTTAAAGCATAGACTTCCTTTCTTTCTGTTTCAGCTGCCTCTAGTTCCTCTCGGGTGTGTTCTCTGGCAAGGTTTGTTTGCTCGAGCTGGCGACGCAGTTCCTCGTTTTCACCATGTAACCTATGAGCGTCCTCCCTGCCCTGCCCATCAGTTCCAGCTCACTACTGTGTGTCCCTGAACCGTTGCCATCTCCGGGCTCCATATCGCTGTGCGTCTGCGTCCCTCTGCAGCCACTCTACTTCAAAGTGTAAAGACCCCAGCCGTGTTTGGTAGGCCAGCTCCCGCACATGGTACTCACGTCGCTCATCAGCCAAGCTGGGAGTCTTTGATCCTTGATGGTATCATGAAATTGACAACCTTCTTGTTGTGTGTATATAAATTTTGTTCGCCTACCTCTCTATTTAAATATATGTTGGACTCAGTAGAGCGTCCAGCCCCTATATGATGTCCAAGCCCTATATAGAGTCCATTGGTCAAAATCCACTGTACAGAGTCCAAACTTGGAATCAACTGTGAGCTCAAAGTTTCGATGGACATCGCTCCCTGTATAGAGTCCAGCCAATTGGCTTCACCCGTATATAGAGTCCATTGGTCCAAAATCAACTGTACGGAGTCCAAACTTTGAAATCAACTATAAAGAGTCTTTATGTGGACAACACCCCCTGTATAAAGTCCAGCCAATTAGGCATCCCCTATCGAGTTCGAAAATAGACATAGGATCTGCTGTAAGCAGTGAATATTAACCAGAAAACGGCCTCTCCCTTTAATCCTTTACATCATTCACTTCTCAAGATAAAAAATATGTATTGAGGCGCCACTGCAGCCACTTCATTACATGAAAAACCCTACAAACACCATCCTCAAATCAAGTGGTCTCTTCGCAGACGCTGCAAATTACAATACCGGTATCTCAATCATGTAGTGTTGCCAAATTATTGTGCACGCACACACACATGCACACACCCACACAACGCCAAGAAAATACCTAGAAAAAAACCAAGAATCGAAAGAGAATAATGGAGAGCCCAGGATTAATTATTTGTTTCAAATTATTGTGCGTGCGCGCGCGCACACACACACACACACACACACACAAACTTATACAACGCCAAGAAACACCAAGAAAAGAGTAGAGACACAATACACACGCAACTCCAACAGCCATGCAAACGTCCACCCATTTACATGTAAAATCAAGAGGGATAACAAATAATTATACGAAACGAATGCGTACGGGGACGGGTACACGCACGTTTACATACACGTAGTAGTGTAAGAGAGTAACATAGTGCAGTGGTCAGCATAATACTAGCACATGCTGAGAGTGCAATAGCAAGCTTCACCATCGCTCATGGCCATGCAAATGTTCAGCAGCACTCAGTTCCGCAAGCTTCTGAAGATCAGCACACCTGCAACAAATAGATAACACAAGGATACGCTTATTACCGTAATGATGCATGGGAGCACACAACTACCAAGTTCTCAACGAATGTGATGCTCAATGAAAATCAATCCACTCAAAGACCTGTGAACAGGTGATGGTGGGGACAATAATCTATTAGTAAAACGAGGAATAGGATCGTTTGTGCACACTCAAGACGCACAGACACACAACATACATGTAGTGTACACAGTGTTTCACTTCACTGCAACTAAATTGAAATGAGATGATTTGAACAATCTGTACAGCGTTGCTGTCAGTCAGTCTTCCCCAAGATGGAAATGCAATGATTGTTGTCACGAGGCAGTTTCACTGACACAATGTCATGTTCGTGACATCAAAACGGTTACTTCAGGGAATACGAGTATTAGCTTGAGAAGCTTTTTCTTGTCATTGGCACACAAGCAATCCTCCTAGTCCTACTACTACTAGTACACTGGCACTGCGTTTGTGGAACCCATTGTATTTGACATCATACTACAGGAAGAGTGTCGTGGAGTTCACATAATTATCACAGGGATAAAAATACATTTCTCATGAAATAAAATAATAATTGATGATAGCTAGACGATCATATACGATTGATGCAAAGTCCTTGCAGTCCTTGAGGACCATTACGAAGTGGTTGATTACTTTTAGGGCATTCTTTCAAGCAACATCAAACAAACGAGATACGCTCCTTGAAAATGGAAAAAAAATTCAAGCATAACGACAGAACAGCAGACCAATCGAAACGAGTAAAAGCTTCCTTACCTCAGTCATCGTCCTGCCATGTAGTTGGACAGCCTTTTGACACGGTCGTACAGGCAGCTCTTGTCCAGTCAAACAGGGGTATCCTTGTGGCGTCGAACGAAAGAGAGTGTCAGTGTATCTGACTCGTCAGATTGCAACTGTGCTGAACTTTTCTCTTTCTCCGCTTTCTGCTTTCATCCCTCGCTCTGATGAAACCGTTCAAACGTCTTACTGCAGCAATGGCCAGCCAAACAGGGGATCCTTGTGGCGTCGAACGAAAGAGAGCGTCAGTGTACCTGACTCGTCAGATTTGAACTGTGCTGAACTTTCCTCGTTCTGCAATTTCTGCTTTCATCCCGCGCACTGATGAAACGTCTTCAGAGAACCACAAGACGCTTTCCAGATTTGATTTTGAACGTCTCCTTATCCTCCTTGGTTAGCTCGAGACAGATTACTGTCAGCAACTGCACAGCAGAATTGGCAGCCATGGCTGAAGTGAAGAAAGGAATGCGCTGCCACGAGGCAAGCAAAACTGAAATGTGTTCTCTTTCGGGCGCAACACACAGGACGGCGTGACTGGATAAACTGGACTCCTGGACCGTGAATAGGGGGCTTGTAGAATAAGTGTACTCCTTATAGGGGATTGCG